ATGTGTTTAGTTTTTCGAGATGACTTTTATTTTTCATTCGATCATTAAACGAACTACATGTTCACGAGATATTTATGACCTATTTTTTTTATAGATATATTTATTGTTCATGATTCAGCTTCTGTCTGCTAGGACACTGGGCTAGGGCAATCATTAAAAAAATAGTATATAGGGTGACAACATAAATACAAGTACATAAACTGACAACAGTTATATATGTACATAGGGTGACACAGTAATACTAGTATATAGGGTGACAACAGTAATACTAGAACATGTATTAAGGGTAACAGAAGGTATACTTGTACATAGGGTGACAACAGTAATACTAGTACACAGGGAGACAACCGTTAAACTAGTACATACGTTGACAACAGTATTACTGTTACATGTACTTGGGGTAACAACAGTGATACTATTACATAGCGTGACAACAGTAATAATAGTACACAGATGTACAACAGTTAATGTAGTACATAGTATGATAACAGGATTACTGTTACAAAGGGTGACAACAAAGTAATACTAGTACATAGAGTGGCAATTGTAATACAAGTGCAAAGGAGACAACAGTAATAATAGATTATAGGCTAACAACAGTAATACTAATAACTATGGTCACAACAGTAATATTAGTACAAAGGGTGACACCAGTAATACTATTGCATAGGGTAACAACAATAAAACTAATACATAGGGTGACAACAGTATTACTGGAACATAGATTGACAGCAGAAATAATTGTTCATGGAATGACAACAGTAATACTGGTACATAGGGTGACAACAGTAATATTAGTACATAGGGTGACACCAGTAATACTATTGCATATGGTGACAGCAGATATAATGGTACATAGGGCGACAGCAGGAATACTCTATTTAAGGATGACAACAGTAATACTATAACTGAAGGTAACAACAGTAATATCGTAATATATGGTGACAGCAGCAGTATTAGTACACATGGGGAACAAAAAGTAATACCAGTATATAGGGTGACAGCAATTATACTACTACATATAATGGCAGTAGCAATACTTGTAATGATGCTTAGAACAGGTACAGTTAGGTCATTTGGGGACTGGGGTTGCAAGGGCGGAAACAGTAGTACTAGCACATATGATGACAATAGTTAATACTTATATTAAAGTTGTAAAATAGTACAGAGATGTATTCTGTTGCTATTACATAGATGACATCAACACTATAAAAATAATAACATAAATAACAACATATCTGACAGTAGATAGGAAACCAGCGGTAAAACGTCGTACCATGTCAAGTATTTAAGTGTTTGACAACAATACTGATCGAGCAGTGGACGCCATTACTACATGTGTTTTATGGTGAATATGCCCACCCATAATGAGCAAAATTGCTATTTTGTAAGATATTGAGAAATAAATCATTTGATATGTTTGTTGACCGTGAGTAAAAAGCTCATTATTGCTACGAATGAGGCGTGTATCCGCTCTGCTCCTTTTGTATTACCTACACAGCTGCTCGGTATGCGGTTCAAATTAACGACCATCAGACATACTGTGATTTGAGACTAGATTTAAACGGATATATATAGACATGTTTGTTTGTTTAATGTGGTATTTTAACATTTAATACATAAAAAGTAGCCGTATATGATGCTATACAGTTACTTGAAATGAAAACATCATGATAAAAATTTAATATTTTATACGATGAGATTTAACATCCTGATACATGCAGGCAAGATTATATTACAACTATGTAGTTCGCTATGATGACTAACCACTTCTTTTCTAATCTGATCTTGAGCGTAGTTCAAATGATACCCCACCACGTGATGTCTGAATAAAAAAAAGTTTAGTGTAATGCTACTCTCCGCCTCTATTCAACTGGAGTTGACTGACGTTCTAATGTTGACATCGTTTTCCTAAAGTGCTTAATTTTAGTATGTCATAAAACACAGCCTATGGCCATTGCCACTAAGTAGTCTTTTATTTACTACTTTATCTGATACATGATATCAACAAATTAAATATAGATACGATTATTACGCTGGGGATAGAATTCATCGATTGCATAGCAATAAAGCAGTTCATTTTAACTGCATTCGGCAATTAGTTAGGTTTTACTCAAACCAAAGCATTTAAAAGGTTTTTGTTCAAACACATTTTACCGCCAAAATAGAATATATTCCGGACTTATCCAGGCCATCTCGCTAACATAAAAAACACACATTATACATATACACGAATGAAGTGGCTTGGACATATGAACTTACAATCTTTTGATTGAAGGAAAGACAAGCTGATATAAATCAAAATCCAGATATGAATTCATTGAACTACATTTGTGTTTAAGGTTAATGAAAAATACATTGGATTTTTAATCACTAACTTAAAGATAGAGTGTACGTTAGAAGTACTCAGAACTTAAATTTAATTTTAATTTTAGGATGGTCAATCGCCGCCAAACAAAATCCATAAAATACCCTATGATGCGACGAAATATACTTGCAGTTAGTTTATTGTAAGATATAAGTTGAATGATTTCTTAAGCCGTCATCAGTTCGGTCAGAGACTTAATGGCACAAGATCGTATACATAATTTGTTTGTTAAACATTTTATAGAAAGAATAAGAAATAGTTGTATTTTTGAGTACGTTTTTGAGCAAGTGTTTCCAATTTCGTTAACGTGAAGGTCATTTTGATTTTTCAGCCTTTGTGTTGCACTGTCTTGACAAGCACCTGGTTGGGATTGAGGCTTATTTATATAACTCTATAATCACAGAATTAGAGGTCTAAAATATCTTATGAGATGTAGATTATCACATTTGTGAAAATATGTTTAAAAAAATTACTCTTACTACTATAAAGGTACAATTTTGAATTAAATTGAACTAACAGGAATCTTGTTTTTATTTTTGTGGATGTTTTGGTTGTGACTTTAAATCAAATAGCTTTAACACACTGATATATATTTGCGATTTTTCATCCAACGCCATCTCAATGTATATTTCAATTAATAGAGGAATAACAATAATTTGTATGTCCATATTTATCGGTTTTGTATCGCCTTAATTCAAGTATTTAGTATGTAAAATATATAAATATATTACTGACAAATTTTTAAATACACTTTGTCATTTTCTATTGGCAATTATTGGATACTTTGTCAAATTAGCAATTTCCTTTTGTATTTGATTTTCTGTTGAAAACAACTTAATCAATGTATGCATACTAATGAGTCGGATATAGTAAGGATTGCTAAAGGACCCGTGTAAATCGGCAAAAATGGGCATTTTAAAACAAAATATGCAGACTAATGTGTCGGATATAGTAACGATTGCTAAAGAACCTGTGTAAATCGCCAAAAATTGACGTTTTAAAACAAAACATATTTTGTTTAATTCATCATCATTACAAGACTCGAGCGACTTGTCAAAAATAGAAACGTTGTTACGGTACGATTTCTCACCTTGACACGATTTCTCGCCCAGGTGAGAAATCGCGCTAAAATTGATGAGTTCGCAAAACGATTTCTCACCTCTGCACGATTTCTCACCCGGTAGAGAAATCGTGTTCGGAGTAGGCATATTGCCCGTTGCCATGAGTACGACCACTGCTTTTGATTCTTGGTGATTGTGGTAAACTGCGCAAACTTCAAAACTTTTTCAAACTTGTTCGAACTTCAATTTTTAGCTCACCTGCTCCGAAGGACCATGGTGAGTTTATGCCATACGCAGAGTCCGTCGTCCGTCGGACGTCCGGACGTCCATCCGTCAACTTTTCCTTTAAAATGCTACTAGTCCTGAACGACCCATTCGATTTGGACTAAATTTGGCCATGGAGCATCCTTAGGCCAATGGGACTCAATTTTGTATTAACGGTGGGTGTGGCCCCCTTGGGGCAGAGAAGCGGGGCCTAATAAGGGAAATAGAGGTAAAACCTTTCAAATCCTTACTCTACCAAAGGGATTATGGAATTTCATCCCAATTTGGTCTGGAGCATCCTTGGGCCAAGGGCACTCGATTTTGTATAAACGTGGTGTGTTGCCCCCTGGGGGCAGAGAGATGGGGCCCCATAGGGGAAATAGAGGTATCCCTTTAAAATTCTTCTTCTACCAAAGGGATTTAGGAATTTCGTCCCAATTTGGTCTGAAACATCCTTGGGCCAAGGGGACTCAATCTTGTTAAGTTGGTGGGTTTGTACCCCCTGGGTGGAGAGGGGCGGGTCCCAATAGGGGCAACAGAGGTAAAACCTTTAAAACCCTGCTTCTACCGTAGGGATAATGTTTTTTTATCCTAAGTTGGGCCGGAGCATCCTTGGGCAAACATGACTTGATCTTGTTTAAACGGTGTGTGTGGCCCCTTTTGGTGCAAAGGGGCCGGGCTCAAAAGGGTATTTGAGGTTTAAATCTTTAAAATTCTTCTCATGTACCACTTGAGGGGTTTTATCCGAATTTGGCCTGGAGTATCCTTGGGCAAAAGGGTCTTTACTGTGTATAAATGATGGGTGTGGCCCCTTTGGTTGCAGTGTTGCGGGGCTAAATAGGGAAATTCAAAATTTGATTCTTTGAAATACTTCTTCTGTCCCATTGGAGGGATTTTTTGTAATAAGAATAATTTCCCATGGTTGCTTTATTATCCAGGTGAGCGATACAGAACCTCTGGGCCTCTTGTTTGTATGTTGTAGCCTTTTACCAATTCGTTATTTCGCCAATTCACGGAATAAAACTTGGCAATGAGGTCACGCTGTCTGTTGTAATTATTACGTTACGTGTGTCCCAAACTGAAGACAGAACAATCGTGGACATGCTTAATCCTTACATTTTCCCGCTCGGTACAAGAGTTCACAGGCGACCTGACGTTTGCTCATCAAATGTGACCATCTGTCAATCATTTAAACGCTTTCAATACAAAACGTATTAACATAATTCAGGTTTTTACTTATTGAAGCGTATAACCAGGATGTGGTTAAACTCTCACACAAAATGTTATTTACCTTTTTGTACTTACAGGTATGTGAACACACTGCAGGTGTTTTGTCCCGTGAAGAATATATACGGAGGCGTTAGGTCAGGCTGGTACACCTGCGAGGTTGCCACCAAGGCAGATCAGCCATGCGTGTCCTACATGATAACGTATGTTTACCTGAACATCGATTTATCACCATTCTAATCAGTCCATATAATATAAATTAACAAATTCACTTTTTTATGAAAATATAAGAGTCGTTTTTCTAATTGATTTAAAAGTCTTGTGGGAAAAATAAATAAGTATATGGATTCCAATTAACTACATATGAGATACACCTTCATATTTCCACCTTAAATATCAGATGTTGTTATGAAAATTAAGCTGTACTGTCAACTACACTGTCGAATAATAGTAATGTATAATTTCATCATGTCTGTACAGATCCAAAGAAAAAGATGCCATTGTTGATGCCTTTTTTAAGGAGATTGGACAAGACTACAAATGTGAGAAAAACGTGATTTTGAACAGGTAATAAAGATAATAACAATATTCGTGTGATGTTTTAGTGTATATAGCTATTTATTATATACTTACTACGGAATACGTTTTTTTTGCGATACGACACAATTGCTCTAACCCATATCAGCCATCGCCGTTTCACTCCCCGTAACCCGTATCAGTCCTTTCCGTATCAGTTCGCAAAACCCGTATCAAATCCCTTCATGAAATTTTTCATTTTTAATATTTCAAAAAAAATTAGATCATAAGATAATAGATTTATCCGTTTTCATTAATAAGTATGTAATAAACAGAATAAAATATACCTTTTTTTCCATATCACACCCAGTATCAACCGTAGACTCTAATATCAGCCTGAGGGCCTAATGTTGTATTATTCTCTATGAAGGACATCCTCAAAGAAGCTTTTTGTTATTTCAGATGTTTGGCTTTATCATAGACGAACGTAATGCTAGTAAATTAAAAGATCAAATTACAACTCACATGATAAAAAGCGTCCTGGTACATTTCGTTTATCAGTTTGTTTGATCTTGTTCCCAGTGTCAAAACTAGACGACATATTTTACAATGGACACATTTAGTTGTAAATATAAAAGAAGAAACTACACTCCACACGCAATTTGTAATATATTTTTTATATAAAAGTATAAAAGATAAACGTGGGATGATTTGTTTATGGTGATATCACAAATAAAAATCGCTGACACATCTAACATCAATAACAGGTTTAAACTCCCGCGCTGTCAGTTTTAAAACCTGTGTCATTCCCTAGAAACCACCAGGCAAATTCTATTTGGAGGAACTTGCATTATAAATTTGTTATTATGTAACTTTGACATTATTTTAGCTATACAGCATATATGATTTTATACCTTCTTTATAGTAAGCAACATCTATATACACAAAGTGTCTGCCGACATGGTTAAAGATAAGCAAATGTTCTCAAAATTTGGAATGAGTTTCATAAGTTTTGTATAAATAATAAGGTATTAAAAGGTTTTCAGCACAACACTTATAAAAAAACTTATACTGCAAGGTCTAAAAAACGTCTGTTTACTTGACAAAAGATATTTCTTTTTAAATCTCAAAATGATTTTTTCTTTTTTTCTTTTTTTAGTTTTACGCACGAAGGCAAAGTCAAAATGTGTCCACAAAGAGTAACACATGTCAAAAAGTGTTACACGTGCTTAAAGTGTGTATCATATATTAACAAAGAGTTTCACATATTTAAAAAGTGCATTTCATGTTAACAAAGTGTTTCACATATTTAAAAAGTGCAATACCTGTTAACAAAGTGTTTCACATATTTAAAAAAAGCATTTTATGTTAACAAAGTGATTCACATATCTAAAAGGTGCATTACATGTTAACAAAGGGTCACACATGTTTAAAAAGTGCATTTCATGTTACCAAAGTGTTTCACATACTTCAAAAGTGCATTTCATGTTAACAAAGTGATTTACATATTTAAAAAGTGCATTTCATGTTAACAAAGTGATTCACGTATTTAAAAAGTGCATTTCATGTTAACAGAGTGTTTCACATATTTAAAAAGTGGATTTTATGTACACAAGATGTCACAATATTTACAGAGTGTCACACATGTGTAAAGAATGTATCACATGTTTGCGAAGTCTAATAAATGTTGTTAAAAGTGTAATACGTGTTAACAAAGTTGAACACATGTCTTCATAGTGTAACATGTTTAAAAAGTGCATCACATGTCTAGACAGTGTCATACATGTTTACAAAGTGTCAGGAATGTTTAAAAGGTGTTATACATGTTTACGTAGTGTCAGACATGTGCTAACAGTGCATCTCATGTTAACAAAGTGCATCACATGTTTACAAAGTGCATCACATGTTTACAAAGTGCATCACATGTTCACAAAGTGCATCACGTGTTTACAAAGTGCCGCCCTTGTAGACGAAGGTAATACCAGTCTACAAATATTTACGACTGGACCTTGACTTTTTTGCAGAGCCGTTATGTTATTTCGTATTTTGTATTTTTATAAATGTATGCCTCGTATCTCAAATATGACTTTTGCAGTACAATGACAGCCGAGAAAAACTCCCCCGATACTGACGCCACATCGTCGGTCGCAGTGCTGAAGTCAAAGGTTCGTAGCACCTCTTACACTCTGTGGTATACAAATATGATGGAGACTTAAATCAAACTTATTCAAGTTTTCGGTAAGACCGTGACAGATTTGCTCGGAGTCATAATAACGTCAGTCATACACAGTGTACAGGTATTACTGGCCACCCTGTGTCACTTCTAGTTCACTGAGACTTCTTGTGTCTTTTGTTTTAGTGTATTTAAAGTTCATATTGTTCGTTTGTATCAATTGATTATTTCATACGAATTGATAGGATGGTTTCACTACATGACTTTCTTGAATAAAACGGATTTCGTCATATTTCAAATTGAACACTTGTACTGAAAGTTTCATTTAATTATTTGGTAGGTAATATTGAACTTGATCTACTGTTATTTAGTTGTCAGTTCATGCATCCAGTCAGTTAATATTTCCAGTACGTTGATCAACGTCACAAACAAGGCGCCCTTTTAGCATTAAACCGAGAGCCTTACGCAGGCATGAACATCAAATTGTATTCGTATATTCTGCTAATATAGAAGTAGCAAAATCTGTGCAGATGTAAAATGTTGCATTTCAACGCGAATTTGTGCGTAATGATAAAAAAACACCGATGATACGTGTTTAAAGCAGCAGTAATGATCGATAAAACGGCTATATAAACTAAAATATGGCAGGTGGTATATCAGGCGATGGATCAAGTGGGGACCGTAGTGTGACATAAAACCGGGTGTACGATCTCAGCATGGTCACCTATCATGTATTCAGTGAACCACGTCAGACAGTTATAGATCACTGGGATACCTTGTCACAAACACTAACTATAGATCACTGAGATACGTTGTCACAAACACTACTGTAAATCACTGAGATAAATTGTCACAAACACTAACTATAGATCACTGGGATACCTTGTCACAAACACTAATATAGATCACTGAGATACCTTGCCACAAACACTAATATAGCTCACTGAGATACCTTGTCACAAACACTCATATAGATCACTGAGGTACCTTGTCACAAACACTCATATAGATCACTGAGATACCTTGTCACAAACACTAACTATAGATCAATGAGATACCTTGTCACAAACACTCATATAGATCACTTAGGTACCTTGTCACAAACACTCATATAGGTCACTGAGATACCTTGTCACAAACCCTAACTATAGATCACTGAGATACGTTGTCACAAACACTACTGTAAATCACTGAGATAAATTGTCACAAACACTAACTATAGAACACTGGGATACCTTGCCACAAACACTAATATAGATCACTGAGATACCTTGTCACAACCACTAACTATTGATCATTGAGATACCTTGTCACAAACACTACTATGGATCACTGAGATACCTTGTCACAAACGCTAACTAAAGATCACCGAGATACCTTGTCACAAACACTACTATGGATCACTGAGATCCCTTGTCACAAACACTACTATAGATCACTGACATACCTTGTCACAAACGCTAACTAAAGATCACCGAGATACCTTGTCACAAACCCTAACTATAGATCACTGAGATACCTTGCCACAAACACTAATATAGATCACTGAGATACCTTGTCAAAAACGCTAACTATAGATCACTGAGATACCTGGTCACAAACAATACTTATAGGTCACTGATATACCTTGTCACAAACACTAACTATGGATCACTGGTATACCTTGTCACAAACACTAACTATTGATCATTGAGATACCTTGTCACAAACACTCATATAGATCACTGAGGTACCTTTTCACAAACACTCATATAGATCACTTAGGTACCTTGTCACAAACACTCATATAGGTCACTGAGATACCTTGTCACAAACCCAAACAATAGACTACTGAGATACCTGATCACAAACACTAACTATAGATCACTGAAATACCTGATCACAAACACTGACTATAGATCACTGAGATTCCTTGTCACAAACACTACTATAGATCACTGACATACCTTGTCACAAACGCTAACTAAAGATCACCGAGATACCTTGTCACAAACCCTAACTATAGATCACTGAGATACCTTGTCACAAACACTAACTATAGATCACTGAGATACCTTATCACAAACACTAACTATAGATCACCGAGATACCTTGTCAGAAACACTACTATAGATTACTGAGATACCTTGTCACAAACACTACTATAGATCACTGAGATACCTTGCCACAAACACTAATATAGCTCACTGAGATACCTTGTCACAAACACTAACTATAGATCACTGAGATACCTTGTCACATATACAAACTATAGACCATTGAAATAGCTGGTTACGCGCACTAAATAAGACCACTGAGATACCTGGTCACAAACACCAACTATAAACCACTGAGATACCTGGTCACAAACTATAGATCACTGAAATACCTGGTCACAAACAATACTTATAGGTCACTGATATACGTTGTCACAAACACTACTGTAAATCACTGAGATAAATTGTCACAAACACTAACTATAGATCACTGAGATACCTGGTCACAAACTATAGATCACTGAGATACCTGGTCACAAACTATAGATCACTGAAATACCTGGTTATGCATACTAACTTTAGACCACTGAGATATCTGGTCGCAAACACCAACTAAAAACTACTGAGATACCTTGTCACAAACTCTAGATCTATAGGTATCTCAGTGATATATAGTTAGTGTTTGTGACAAGGTATATCAGTGATCTATAGTTAGTGTTTGTGACAAGGTATCTCAGTGATCTATAGTTAGTGTTGGTGACAAGGTATCTCAGTGATCTATAGTTAGCGTTTGTGACAAGGTATCTCAGTGATCTATAGTTAGTGTTTGTGACAAGGTATCTCAGTGATTTATAGTAGTGTTTGTGACAAGGTATCTCAGTGATCTATAGTTAGTGTTTGTGACAAGGTATCTCAGTGATATCACCGATATATCTGATTACGCATAGAAACTATAGACCACTGAGATTATCTAGTCGCAAACATCAACTATAAAAAATATACTGAAATACCAAGACACTAACGCTAACTATGGATCACTGAAATACCTGGTCACAAATAATAACTATAGACTACTGAGATATCTTGTCAACAACATAGATATATACCACTGAGATACCTATTAACAAACACTAACTATAGACCACTGAGATACCTGGTCACAAACAATACTTATAGGTCACTGATATACCTTGTCACAAACACGAAGAATAGCTCAATGAGATAACTGACCAGGGTTAAACACGGACATTGAGGGTATGAATAAAGAGGTTGATATAACGAGCCCTTGTTTACTTTGTTTTTATCATATTTGTTGTCGTCGTTATTTGTATGAAAATCAATAGCCATTACGAGAGGTGTTTAAATTTTTCCTTGCAAAACTGGATTCATACGCTGATAAAGTTTTACTGCAGATTTGCTTAATCAAGAGGGAAAACGAATGAATGTGCGACCGTCCTGGTCCGCGCGGGATAAACCAATTATGACATATAATATCGGTGTGATCTATCAATGCACGTCACAAGGGAGGCAACTCCACATAAGACTGTGAGTGTACTCACCACACTTCTAAGGTCAGTTCAGTGATATCTAACAATTCATCAATTTATTATGGAACAGTTAAGCCATAGGTTTTCATTTTTTTGAACCTTACAATCGCCAATGAGTTAAAAAGGAATGGCCACACGGTGCCGTATAGTTAAGCATTAAACTATGTTTGTTTGGCACTTATGATGATCTATTTGAAAGACACAGCTTTGCAAGCAAACAAATCATTATACTGTTTGCTTCCAAAGCTCGTTTCATTCTCTCCTTTTTATATTATATCTTACTTACAAGTTATATTTGAAATTCAAAGTTTGTTCAATAGCTGGAACAGTGTGTCGTCGCGTGCTGATTAGCAAACAAAGTAACAATTTGAAAATTTTGCGCATGGACAATAAATTCAACACCGTAATCAGATCTTACCTTTCACGAGGGAGTTATTTTTGGAAGTCGAATGAGCAGTGCGAAAAGTTTCGAATTTGTGAAGAATTCACGGAAACTTGGCTACAGTCGTTAGATGCTACAACAACCGCGTTATTTGACATGTCGTCAGAAACTTAGGAAACCGTGGTTGATGGACGCTTGATAGCGTTTGAAATTCGCGATCTTGCGACAGAGCGTAGCGAACTGTTGTGATGTTGACACCGGTCGTGTTTTTTGACCGGGGTGACGATGCATTTTTGTGGTTAGACAAAGACAGGGTATGCCTTGTCTAAAATATTTGATCATTCAAACATTGCACAACTTTGGATGAGCTTTCGTTCGTGCAGAGACCTGTTGTAATATATACGTCTCTGATTCGTGTCAATGCATTGGTTCAAACTCACATATCCGTCTCGTTTATATTTATTAATGTTTATTCGAGCTTGTTGGTTATTCATCGCCAAATCGCAGCAAAAAAGTGGGAAGATCGTTTGATTCTGTCATGGTTAAATCTGTGCACTGTAACAGACGAAATTTCAGATAATTGTATGAGTGTTAAATTGTTTTCATTGGTTATTTCAGCCGATGTGCATTTCGTACGATATTGCAGACGTTTGTTTATTTTTTGTTGTAATAAAATTATTCTGTTTTACACATTTACAATTGCATTGTCAAGTCTCACAATACCCAGCAATATTTCAGCAGCCGTCATATTAAAGCATATAATTGCACGAGTTTTAGTAGTTTTGGGAGGAATGAGTGCAAAGTAAAACGAATTTTTACTGCAGAATTCCAAAACAATAAGTAAACTTATTTTAGAATAAGAATTAAGTCGATAATTTCATAATTGTAAGCGATACAAGCAAACAAAACAATTATATACGAGACAAAAGAAAGACGATACGATACGATGAGTATAGCAGTTAGAACGCGGACGGACAAACGGTGAATGCTTGTCCGTCAGTACTATACTATAAAACGTTATATCAATATGATAACGTAAATTACGGCATACATTACGTAATGAGATGTTTACATGACTTTGACCACAGTTACACCAAAGCAAGTCGAGACTTACCTATCTATACAGTATTTGCTTCTGTTACAAGTTCAATTTTTTTTCTAAGTCTTGTTTAAGAACATTGCAATGACATTCCATTTCATTAACTTCCAAAGGATGTTTTCTCCTTGCACATCATTATGCAGTATAAGGAAATCAGTGATTTCTTATAAAGTATATATTTCAGCTAAAAGAACACGTGTAATAACATTTTATCTTGTAAACTTCCGAAAGGCGCTCTCTCAAAGAAGATAAGACAGTATCAGGAAATTACCAGAGCAATGGTTATTACAGCTAAATATCAAGTTTATCTACAGAAACATGTCGACTATATGGTCATGGACGTACAGGGAGGCGAGACACAGTTACTCTCGTTCATGTTAAAGAACGGCCTGCTGAGGACCGTCGGCCAACTGATAGTAACATTCCACGGAATCAAAGCTGACAGCAACGAGGCCGTGTACGTGGAGCATCTACAGGTCCTCAGGGCACTTTACCAAGAGGGTTACAGGACCTTCCACTTTAACAGGCAGATTCAGTGCTTGTTCTCGGGAAATCCGATGAAAACTGGCTGCTATACACTTTCAATGGTATTTCAATATTTTGTTACAACCCTCACTCATATGAAAATTATCGAATATCGCACTCATACCTATTAATTCTTCTTATTTTGTCTGTTAACCAACTTGAATATTACATATCAGCGATACAAACCGGTTATGTTTGAAATCCCTCATGTCTATACCCATGCAAGAAAGCATGCCACTGAGTACATGTATATTTAATATGAGAGGTACAGGGCCAATGCTATTTATATGAGAACATCTATGGTGATATTAAAAATAATTGTTTACAGGTAGGTTCCACCTTTCCAGTTATGCGCATCCATGTATCTTGCTGTTAAAGTCGAAAAAAGTCCAAGCAATTAATATGTGAAATTAAAGACGGATACATCATAAACCAATGAATATGTGACAAAGAAATAGTTCTAGTCGTTATGCTGTATTTTCATTCAATTTAGATGCGCGAAATGCCAATCCATGGTCCCCTCGAAGTGTTTACCCCAGAGCTCATCAAAACTCAACCGCTCAACGCTTTGGCTTCGTTGTATCATAAGTAAGTATTTTATGTCGTTCATGACGTAGTGAAGCTTGTAATTTAATTCACCAACATAATATTACATGTCATATGGAAGCAGACAAACATGTACAATCCTAATTGATGCTGAACCTCGTCACTTAATCTGTCAGAACAGCGTATATAAGCGTATTTATATACACAAGGGCATTTGCGTTCAGTAGGAATGTACAAGTTGGCCATTTTGCTTGCCATTGATTTATTAGTATCAACATTGTCATTGAAAGAGTAAGATATTTTATATCTCCCGATAAAAACTGTCTCCCTTATAAGTACAATATTTCAGGTGGGTTACTACCCGAGATGATTAAGTCTACCTTATGTGGGCATTAGGACCGTAGTTAGTGTATTGGTCTTTAAAACCTGGTGTTGCTACAACTGATTGTGTCGTTTGACCGCTGTTTCGGTTCCACTTTCGCAGATTGTATTTGTTTCTGACGACATTTTAATTTACTTTTCGCTTTTTTTTATTAATGTAAAACACAACTGTTTTCTTTAACTTTCAACTAGACTCTGACATGATAAAAAAGGCTTAACAAGGTTGGACGAGAGGGGTCAGTCAGTGTATAGTTAATACAATGCTTAAATCGAAATTGACTTTAAAGATGAAATAAGCAATGAGTTTATTGAAGAGTTTTTCCCTGTGTATGTCAGTAAGTACCAATTAATATGTCGACAGGTTCATGTTCTGTAGGATTATGAAATGAGAAAGGATATTTTGCTATGGTTGTGCGCGTCTTTTCATACCATATGAACGGTTTGTGTTATTGAACAGGCTTCTGGTGTCAACACAAGTCCACTGTAAAGAGGTGGTCCGTATAGGAAAGGTTGATGACGGGGGCTGGGACATTTGTAACGACACGGAGTACAGACCCTCCTCCCCTTGTATTGTGTATTCCTTTGGAGTGGCAGGAGACTGGTCGTTTGATGACGAAGTGTCCAGGATTTATGGATGCGAAGTGCATTCTTTTGACCCAAGGTAAACAACACCTATGACCATACTTCATTTAAGATAAACAATTATAAGTTTAGAAATTACCTCTTAGGAATACCAATGATAACTTTTCAGAATTGGCTCAATGTATTTATAAACTGTTCATATATCGACTAAATACTAGTACATGTAAACTCTCAACCCTAGCACTACATAACTTATTTTCATAATATTTCATGTATTATTTTACCCTAGTACTATATTACTATTTTACATAAGCTCTCTTCCTAACACATATTGATTATTTTAATAGAAATTCGTTGAAGCCCTCGCCCTACAACTATATTATTGATTTTCATAGGAATAAATGTAAACTCTATACCGTAGACTATCTAAATTGTTTTAATAATAATTTATGTAAGCTCCTGCACTAACACTTTATTATTTTGTTTAATACTTATTCATAGTAGCTCTCATTCAACTTCTATATTTTTATCTGAATACTTCATGTAAACTTTCGCCTTAACATAATATCAATCATTTAAATACTAACGCATGAAAGCTCTCACTACCCCTTATATTATTTCAATTATCAAAAGACTAACTCATGTAAACTCTCACCCCAATACTATATTAATTATTTTCATACTAAATCATGTAAACTCTCGCACTAATACTATATTAATTATTTTCATACTAATTCATGCATACTCTCACCCTAATACTATAATAATCATCGAAATACTATCTCATGTAAACTCTCACCCAAATAGTAAATTACTTATTTTAATAGCGAATTCTCCTCACGGTCTCACGGAGTGATCTACATAGGTTACACGCACACAAACACCTAAAAGAAACCCCATTAGAAACCTACCATGAAATCCCATAGACCTAGCAAGTCGATTCACTTGCATTATTTGGGAAACCGTGCGTGTACAAATTCCGTTTAGGGAGGCCGCCATTTTGAATCCACAGGATGTAGAGCAGTTTTCAATAAATTTAATCTATTTCAATACAGAAAAAAACGGTCTCAGATAACGTTTCTTGCCTGTTTCAATTTTAACGATTTCTATGACATAACGCCGGTCCTTTTATATTGATGAGAAATGGTGTGGTAAGACGGTACATGTTATAAAGAAAACATGTCAGACATCTTTGTTTTGAGATTCTGCTGTAGGCTAAACTATGCGTATAGTTGCATATAAAAAGCATGTAGTTTAATTTACGTAAACTCTCATCCTGTATAGAGTTAGTAATGTTACAAGTATGCCTTTTATTTCTTATAGTTAATGTACCAAACTATACAGAAATATTTTTGAACGAATTTACTGCATTTGCACAAAGAACTACCCCCACCCCCCTTTAGAGTCACAAGACTGTTCGTGTATATCACACAGCTAATTTGTCTAAATAAAAGATAAAATTATCGAAGTTTCTTCGATATTTTTCGTTCAAAGTATTGGAAAACAGGATCACAAGAGATCGGACAAAATAACCTTTCACAACCTTGGACTGTGGGGAAAGCCTAAAGGACAACATGGGAAATGGAAAATGATGAATCTCGAGGGGATCATGCAGATGTTAGGACATACCAATGTAAGTATTTATATATTGTTTCCTTGTTTGGAGTGTTACCTCCTCCCCAATCCTCAATTAGCTTTAGTCATATGGGGAACGTGTACACGGAAGACTTAGCTGTTCATTGACAACTTTAAAGGTACATAAATAGGACGGATATTAAGCAAAACATCAGAATACTGAAGCTACCGGGAAGACTGTTTTGGCAGTTTGTCGGGCAAAGAATAACAGAGTCTGGGAGAGACCAGAGATATACAAATGCAAGGACATACCGAGTAGATTTTTTGACATCTTGTCTGGCAGGGATTATACAAAGTGTAGGATATACCCGGGTAATTGTTTGACATCTTGTCTGGCAGGGATTATACAGAATATAGGATATACCGAGTTGATTATTTTACATCTTGTCTGGCAGGGATTACACCGATTCTAGGATATATCGAGATGACTGTTGGACATCTTGTCGGACATCCTATTGTCTAGGGATTATATTGGTTCTAGGATATATCGAGAGGACTGTTGGACATCTTGTCGGACATCCTATTCTCTATGACTATTTTGGCGTGTTGTCTGGCAGGGATTATATAGAGTTTAGGATATACCGGGATAACTGTTACAGAGTCTAGGCGATACCAAATGTCATCTTGTTAAGCAGGTATTAAACAGAGTCTGCGATCACCTTTTTGTGTGCGTTACGTTCGTCATTCATTACAATTTTACTATATTTAAATCTCACTCAATAACGGCGTCATTTCTAGAAAATTGCGGGATTTTCATTATATTAAATAAAAAACAACGATTGGTCATTGTGTGCTATTAGACTAGAGGTGTTAAGATTATTAAAAAAAACTGTCATCAGAAGTAACAAGAGGAAGAATGGACCGGCATCGCTCTCCTAGTATTACATTATCACCTTTTAGTGGACTAAAATTATATGACTGTAAGTCATTCGAAAGAACATGTTAAAATATTTAAACATATTTTACCTCATGTGATTTTGAAAGTCTAACAATTTCATTAAGTTGAACAGACTTTAAAGCCCTTCATCTCAGCATGCACTTATTTAGTTATTTAGAATTGTTTTTTAACACATTTGACCAATATGACCTGGTATATTCGTGAAGGTCATTCATAACAGCAATCATCAAAGTTTCCTATCGGAGCATGTTACTGGAGGAATATCATCAGCCTGGGCGTTTTGGCTATTCATAAATAGTTTTTAAAATGTTTTAAACATATTTGACCCCTGTGACCATTATGATATGCCAATGCAATTCATTTGAACGAACTTGTAGCCCTTTATCCCAGCACATCACTGGCCAAATATAAACATCATGGGACTTTTTGTTATTCAGAAGTCATTAAAAGGTTTTGAACATTTCATTTGAGCAATCAACAGCCAAATATCAAAATGCTTGGCTTCTTTTGTTATTCAGAATAAGTTGATTAAAGGTATTAAACATATTTGACCTAAGTGACCTTTGACTATAAGTCAAGGTTATTCATTTTACCAAACTTTTTTTTTGCTAGCCTTTCATTCCAGCATGTTACCAGTCAATTATCATCATTCTGCGAATTATTGTTATTCAGAAGAACTTGATAAAATATGTGAAACAAAGTTAACCCCATGTGACCTTGCTTATAAGTCAAGGTCATTCATTTGAATAAACTTGGTAGCACTTTGTCCAAAAATGTTACTGGCCAAATATCATTAGCCTGTGCTTTTTTGTTATTTAGAAGATGTTGGTTGAGAGTTTTCACCATAATTGTCCGCTTCGACCTTGAATGTCACTCAATGTCATTAATTTGACAAACTTTTGACATTCATTCATTAGCCCATTGTCCAAGCTTGTTCCTGGGCAATAATCATTATTCTTGGCTTTTTCGTTGTTCAGAAGAAGTTATATAATGTTTGAACATAGTTGACCCCTGTGATCTTGAATATAATTCGAATATAAGTCAAGGTCATTCACTCGCACAAACTTGGAAGCCCTTCATCTAAGCATGCCACTGGCCAAATATCATTATCATTCTAGCTTATATTGTTATTCAGAAGAAGCTGTTAAAATGTTTTAAATACACTACACCCCTGTGACCTTAAATATAATTCAAGGTCATTCATTTGAACAAAGTTGTTAGCCCTTTATTGCAGCATATGCCTGGCCAAAACTCATTATCCTTGACCTTCTGGCTATTTAGACGAAGCTGTTAAAATGTTTTGAACATATTTGACCCCCGTGATCCTGATTATAAGCAAGGGTCATTAATTTGAACACATTTGGTAGCCCTTCAACCCAACATGGTTCTGATCAAATATTATCAGCCTACGCCTTTTGGTTCTTGAGAAGAAGTCTTTTTTTAAAAGTTGACGCAGAACAGACGGACGACGCACCACGGACTTAGCTTACTTGGTCATCCGGGCTTAAACGAATATTTATAATGAAAAATTTTTTTTGGAATGTTTACAGCGTTAGTCTTCAGTGAACTGTATTAAATGGTCTTTTTCTTCCAGAAAAAAATTGATATAATCAAAATGGACATAGAGTCGTCAGAGTGGTCAGCTATTCCTGATATGATATCGACCGGAGTCCTGAAGAAAGCAAGACAATTCAATGTTGAATTCCACAACAACCATAATCCACATGAGAGTTTCCGTTCAAAAATGTCAATTCTGCGTGGCATAAACGATCAGGGTTTAAAGCTGTTCTGGTCTCATCCTAATACATATAATGTCAAACAATTCGGCCCGACAGGAAGACAGGTTACTGCTTGTTATGAGAATTACTATCTAAATCCAAATCTCAAAAAAACAAATGCGTGAATGATAGTGCACTTTATAATAAACTGAAAGTTAATTTGTACAACGGTGTTATTAACCCTCACCTCACTTGTCAATGTGTATCACCTCATACGGCATCTAATCGATAGAAGCTATGTTTCTCGAACGTTTATCATTCTATTGGTGAATACTCTACGTCTCTGGTTGGTTAGTCCTAAACTCTGTCATGAGACACTCCATCTCTTTGATTGGTTAATCCTAAACTCTGTCATGAGACACTCCGTCTCTTTGATTGGTTAATCCTAAACTCTGTCATGAGACACTCCGTCTCTTTGATTGGTTAATCCTAAACTCTGTTACGAGACTCTTTCCGCCTCTTTTGTTAGTTAAATTCCTAACTATGGAACGATACATATTCTGTTTCTTTGGCTGGTTAATCCTAAACTCTGTCACGAGACACTTCGTCTCTTTGATTGGTTAATCCTAAACTCTGTCATGAGACACTCCGTCTCTTTGATTGGTTAATCCTAAACTCTGTCACGAGACACTCTCCGTCTCTTTTATTAGTTAAATTCCTACCAATGGAACGATACATATTCTGTTTCTTTGACTGGTGAATCCTAAACTCTGTCACGAGACACTTTCCGTCTCTTTGATTGGTTAATCCTAAACTCTGTCATGAGACACTCCGTCTCTTTGATTGGTTAATCCTAAACTCTGTCACGAGACACTTTCCGTCTCTTTTATTAGTTAAATTCCTAACTATGGAACGATACATATTCTGTTTCTTTGACTGGTTAATCCTAAACTCTGTCACGAGACACTTTCCGTCTCTTTTGTTAGTTAAATTCGTAACTATGGAACGATACATATTCTGTTTATTTGGCTGGTTAATCCTAAACTCTGTCATGAGACACTCCGTCTCTTTGGTGAGTTAAATCCTTATCTAAGTATTACCCCTGTAGGTGGGGGATCGGGAAAAGAATGCACCTGCTGTTTCCCACTGCATGTATTGTAGTAGGCGACTAATGCTAGAACCCCCTGCATAATTTGAGATTTGGTTTGGTGTCCTCTATTTGGGGACAGACACAAAAGCGACCAAAATACATCTGCTGCACCCATTGCATTAGTTGGGTTCTTTATCATTCTTTCTACTTCTTAATACTTTTTACTTCCTAGCGCCATGCTTGGCAACACCTGACTTTTGGCTTGAATGTTGAGTCAAAAATGTTGAGCGTTCGCCCAGGTGAGGAAGACAATGGGTTCTGTCCCCAGACCGGGACATACCAAAGTCCTTAAACATGATAGTGGTTATTCCGTGCTTAACGTTCAGCATTGAGGGGATTGACAACAACTGGTTCACCCGTTGTCAGTATAATGTGACCGGGGGAAATGCTGTGCTTGGTACCTTCGGCATGGCATTTCAGTAAGATAGTACTATAAAGTCGGTGATCCGCGCTATCACAAAGAGGCAAGCACACCAACATATCCTGTCTCCTGCATACATACACGCAAGCAAGCATACATCACACACATGAAGGCACGTCCTTAAATGACCTTAGCTGTTAATACGACGTTAAACAAAATTAAACTAACTATCTCGGTCTCTTTGATTGGTTAAATCATTAACTATGGAACGAGACATATTCTGTTTCTTTGGTTAAATTTTGAACTACGTAACGAGACAGACTCTTTGGTTTCTTGAATTCTAAACTCTGTAATGTGATATTTTCCGTATCTTTGACTTGTTAAATCCTAAATTACTATGCAATAAGACACTTTCCGTTTCTTTGGTTGGTTAAATTCTAAACTATGCTATGAAACGTTTTGGCGAATGGTGTCGTTATACATGATTCTCCACTAATACGATCACTGACATCATCCGATCCGTGATGTAGTTCCATAGTGAGTGTTTAGATTTTGCAAACTTTGTCCCACTGCAGATAAAATACTAAACAGTTCCACTGTAGCCTGTTCATGGTTTTTTCCCCTTAATTTGGTGTTTTGGATTTAACTATACTACAATATGGCCAGGGCACATCTGTTGAACTGGTAGCTCAGTCGGTTAGAGCAACGTTATACCAATTTGAGGTACAGGGTTCGAATGTTGGTCATTTAGAACAGTTTAGTTGATTATACTTTGCTCATTTCAACTTTTACAAAGTAGTTCCATTTTGTAGGGTTTACTTTTCAAAAAATGATTTGTTCCAGCTATAGTCATGTTAGAAAAAAAGTAAGTTTTCAATGCAGATACACAATTTTAGCAGTGGTACGGAGACCGGTAAGTCACTGCCAGTGTTGTCTTACAGTTTAAAGGAAGACATATTCACACAGGTTAGATTGTTTTGTTTGTATCATTTTAATGTTGTGTACCTCTTGCATTTATTCGATATTGTACAGATGTATGTAGTATTCAGTGAATGATTTTTTCTTCTTCATTCTTTTCAACTTCAAATTAGTCAATTCAAATATTGTTAATTATTTTGAGAAATGATTAAATTTGCATAATTTTTATGCGCATCTTGCCATTGTAGCCGACCTAATTAGGCATTTGGCTTTTACGACAAACCGTCATTTTTTCACTTATTTTATATGTATGCTACGTATTGATAACACCATTTATATTCATTACGTTTGCCTTTCGAGCTTTATATTGAAGAATTCAGTAATTGACATCACTTCTCACTGCAAAGCGTACTGGACCATAGATCTTTCTCTTTTTTTTTTCTAAACAAATATTTCATGATCATGTAAGTTATCGTTTACATAATTTAAGAATCGTGTTTCATTCGGAAGTTCTCCTATTATTGAATACTCATTTCCACAATTCATTTTTCCATTAAATGAAGTATTTCTAATCTTATGGAAAAAATCAATAGTACTATTTTGGATCGATCGCTAAGTGTACTAGTGTTTTGCTCAGTTAAGTTATTATTCAATATTCATTTTGCAATCAAGTTGTTGTTTAAATATAACCTATGTTGTTGTTGAATTTCTTTGATAATATCATTCATTTATGTTCATCATATATATATATATGTACTATATTTTGTGACTTTCAATTTGTAACAAGATTTCTCCTTTCGTTGGAATAAAAGCAACATCAAACAATTGGCTGTTTTACTGCTATATAAACAGTTCACCAAACATACAGCAACAGAAGTTTTTTTCTATTGGTCATAAAATCCAACAAACAACACAAAATATGTTATAATTTACACCTTTGTACTTTGTAGGACCTTTCCCCCTCCCATGTCATGTTCACCCTTCCCCGGTCCTACTCATTAAATGATGAAAACGGGTGTTTATATCTTCTGCATTTAAGTTAGCAATGACCAGTAATGAACATTAGACTGTTAGATTAAGTATTGTATCTCTGTGGATCTTCTTCGCAACTTGACAGTAGCACAAAGGGATGAACAAGGGGAAAGACACCAACAGTGGACCAGAACAACTGATGCGCACTGTAACTCAACTAGATCTTTCACACAAATTACATTCATATTAAGTAAATATATGAATAATAATAAAAAATAAGTAGAAACTTACAACACCCTGTAAGGGACTTTGATATGCTAAAACAAATTTTACCAAAGATTCGTTTCTCAGTATTTCGTCAATTTTTGTCATTTATCAGATAATTAAATTTATAGTGTCTGACGTAAGAAAGTACTGTTAAGATATATAATATCGCTCGTCTTGTTTCTCTTTATTGGTTAAGAGAACACATGGGTTTCAGGCTGGTACAGTGGTATTATTCTGTTCTCCAGCGAAACTCGACCTGTAAGTATGATTTTTTGCCTATTTACGCCTCTCTCTAACATAGTCTGAGCACTTTGGTGTTGGTTATTTTGCTGTAGGTCAATACACAGATGAACTAAATTCAAATTGTCTTCTCTATCCAAAACAAAGTATTTTAGATCTACCAATATACCGGTTTGTATCTGGAGCTTTGTCTCTGTAAAACATAAGTCTCGTTCGGCTTTATTTCCTGGATTTGATAGGTTATACAGTTTTGAAAATATTATTCCCGTTGAAGCAAATTGAGATACGAAACTGGACACGCCAAATTTCGATTAACTCTCGTCCTTCAATGATATTGTACATTATTTATAAAAAAAACCTATTGACACAGGTAGACAACCCTATACATTGTACCCTTTTATCTGATACTCCAAATACCTGGTATTATTTACCCAGGATAAGGATTGAGCGCAAACTTGATGCATCAATATTGTCAAAAATTGAATAAAAAAATCTCAAAAAAGAACAGTGTATCGGGAGACAATTTTGGGATGGTTTCTTGGTTTAAAAAATAATCAAAATAAGATGACTCGTACAGACTTTCAGCTTGACCACACACGAGTTTTACTGATAAATTTAGAATCGAAAAAATCGGGAAGTTTGGTTTGGTTTAGTACTGTTTAACAATGGTCATTTAAGGAGCCCCCCCCCCCCCCCCACACACACACACCCTGTGTGCAAGATGCATGCGTGTAGTGTATGCGTGTGTGTTTTGGGAGGCTACGATATGTTCGTGAGAATCGGGAGTACGAGGTATGAACACCACTATCATTGTTGAATTTAAGTACGCAAAGCGTGTAAATTGTTTTTTTTTTAATTTAATTTCAACAAATTTTATTGACAATATAAGCAATAGTCAATAACATCAGGCTTAGCCTATCTAAGTCCTCTCCTTAAAGTGACAACAGGTTGTAAGAAACACAGACATATATTTGTACATTGATATGATGTTTGGGATAAGGGGAAGTAACTCCTTGATGTAAACAGACTTGTTCAGTATTCTTGAGATATAGTAACCCTTTCACTAGGGATATTTAATTTGAGATATTTACTAGACTATTATCTTCAGTGAATAACATCAAGTATCTGACAATGAGTTACTGGTATTCATATAAGGTAAACTGTTGGGTATACATATTTGGTGATATTGGATTTATTCCCTCAACAGATACAGGCCATACAGTCCATATGTATAACACACTAGCCATCACACACTGTTAAGGATCAAAAGCCAATTTCGGCAAATAGATATATAATTTGTAGGTAGGGCTACACCAACTCCTGTAAGTAAAGTAGTAATTCTTTAATTAAATTGAAAGGAGTTACTCCATATCTTGATGTAAGCTTAAAAAAGAAGAAGAAAATAGAAAACATAAAAAACACACAAAAAAAAACACACAAAAAAACACAAAAATACCCACACAAAAAAAAGAAAGAAAAAACCCATCTAAGCTGCCCAGAGTCAATTTCATTCAATAGGTGTACATACCAGCTAAATTAGTAATTATCAAAGGTAGAATAAAGCATCTAATTAATTCCATATTATATTACATTAGATATATCTTGTACTACTATATCATTGTAGTTCACTGTGGGAGGTATAAAGCTTTTATACATATAACTTGAAAGAAAATAAAAAGAATAAAAGATTTTTTATTTTTTATTTTTTTTTAATATATTAGAATGTAAGAATGTATAATTATGTTCCAAAAAATAGTAAGGGTAAGTCAAATACTATATTAATGAAAATCTTTTTGATTGCGATATAAAGTTTGATACATGAGATAAGATATCTCTATTTTGTAAATCATTACAACTATTACAACCATGTATTAGGACATTTGTACACGGATGATTGTGAGTGTGATGATTCAAACTCCGTTGGAGAGTCTGGCGAATATTATTATATTGATTACATTCAGAAAAATAATGTGCAGCAGTTTCGAAAGATCCGTTACACTCACACATTGGAGATTCAATTAAGTGATCTTTATAACGATCATAATTTAGATTACTAGCATTATTTCTTAATTGGCAAAGTATAATGTTTACATCACGATTGCCAAAGTATTTAAAAACATCATTTGTTTCAGATTTCATATATTGCTTTGTAGTTAGTAACCTTTTTAACTGTGTGGTAGATTGGATGCTAGTAATATCTGGGGCAAGTCTATTCATTTCATTTAGCATGGACGGAAAAAAACTTTCAAAATATTTTACAGTACGACATAAAGGGGGATCAAATAATCTGTTTGTTCGGAGGGGATATCTGTCAAGGGTTTCATCATGAATATATGGTTGAATAATTTCTCTTAGGTAATCTGGGGTTTCATTATTCATTATTCTATACATTAAAATTAGTTTATGTTTATTTCTTCTGCAGCTCAAAGTTTCCCATCCTAATTCCTTGTATAATTTATCATGTGATGTCCCTCTACGTAAACCTGTAATTAATCTTGCAGCCTCTAATTGTATTGATTCTAATAGTTTTTTTTGAGCTAGTGTGCAATTGTCCCACACAACATCTGCATATTCAATAACTGGTCTTATGTAGGATATATATAAGGTTGTCAAGGATTTTCTATCAATTTTATTTTTTAGTAACCTTAAGATATTTATTCTTTTAAATGCTTTTTCATATATATTAGATATGTGTTGGTTCCATTTGGCATCATCACTAAGTGTAAGGCCCAGATGTGTATGTGTTTTGCTTTCAACAATTGGTGCGTCATAAAAATTAACAATAGGATGATTCTTATTAGTTTTCCTTGAGAAAATTACAGATTCAGTTTTAGAAGGATTAAATTTAATGTCCCATTTAGTGGCCCACAGCTTAATATTACTCAAGTCATTGGAAAGATTTTGTGCCAATTCAATGGGATTATTATCACATATACCATAGAGAGAGGTGTCATCTGCAAATAATTTAATTTTACTGGAAACACAATCAACAATATCATTTATATATATTAAAAACAATAACGGACCGAGGACTGAGCCTTGTGGAACCCCTGCTTGAACAGGGTCAAAGGTTGATGTATAACCTTCAGTTAGTACTCTCTGCTTTCTGTCTGATAAAAAGTTACGAAACCAATTTAAAAGATTACCTTTAACACCATATGATTCCAACTTGTAAAGCAGACCATTGTGCCAAACTCTATCAAAAGCCTTGCTTATGTCACAGAATATAATTCTGATTTCTTTATTTTGATCTAGGCAATTAACAATGGTATGGTAAATAGACAATAATTGATTTACAGTTGAATCTTTAGGTGTAAAGCCAGACTGGTGTTTTGTAATGATTTTATATGTACTGAGGTAATTATATAGATATTTGAAAACGATTTTTTCTAACATTTTACTAAAACATGAAGTAACAGAGATTGGTCTGTAATTAGACACCTCATTAACTAATCCTTTACCTTTATAAATAGCGTTAATATTAGCCATCTTCCAGCTGAGGGGGATAATACCAGTTTCAAGTGTTTTGTTAAATAGAAGAGTTAGAGGAAAGAGAATAGATGGATGTAATTGTTTGATTATTCTGGGAATCATATCATCTGGTCCAGCAGGTTTATTAACATTCAAAAGAAATAGCTGATCTTTAACATCCTGTTGGGTTATAACAATATCATTTATGGAATTAGGAAAATCATTAGTAGTTTCAGGTATAGGTTCAGTATTTTCAGAAGTGGTAGATATTGATGCAAAGTATTTATTTAAGCATTCAGCTTTGTCAAATGGATGTTGAATAAATGAATTATTGTGTGTTAGTGGGGGAATAGAAGTAGATTTGTTGTTTATATTAAGGACATTTCGTGCAATTTTCCACCACTTGTTAGGGGGAATAGTTTTGTCGGTTAATGATTTTTGTAAATTTTCAACATACTTTTTCTTGGCATCACGTATTCTACTAATGGTTTCATTTCTTTTTTTTCTATAATTTTCCCAGTGAAAAGCCGAATTACTAGATTTTGCTTTCCTATGAGCCCTATTTCGTTGTCTTATATGTAGTCTAATATCATTAGTCATCCATTTTTTATCATTTGGTCTAATTGTTACATATTTAGTGGGTATAGATTCATTAATTAAGTGCTTTATTGTATCACATAAAATATTGTTAAATTCATTTGTATCATGTATATTGATAAGGTTTTCCCAATCTTTTTCTAAAATACATCTATTCATCTGATCATAATCTGCATCTTGATAAATAAGAATTTTCTTTCGATAGGTTTGTTTTTTAAAAACTGCATAGGAAATGTTAAATTGTATCAGAGAATGGTCACTACATATAGGAGGAAGCACAGATGCATTTTTAACTATATTTCTGTTGTTGGAAAAGACAATATCAATTGAAGTTGATGAAGTTGGAGTGATACGAGTGGGGTCTGTGATAAAATTAGAAAGATTAAATTTTGTTATTAGTCTACCAAGGTGCGAGTGGGGTTGAAGATTTAACATATTGATATTAATATCACCAGTGATCACTATATCTAAGTTAGTGTTCACAGCTTTTTCAATGACTGAATCTAAGATTTCCCAATATCTAACTGGTGATTCTGGTCTATATAGACAAGCCAGAAGAAACTTGTGCGACTCAATGTGAATTTCCACCCATATCATTTCAACTTCATCATGTTCAAGATCATGTCGTCTTTTGGTGAAAATGTTATTTTTGTGATAGATTAAGACCCCACCACCAGGACCAGTTTTTCTATCCAGCCTATAAAGATTTTCAGAGTAACATGGAATTATTAGTTCAGTATTAGGTATTTCAGGGGTGAGGTGTGTTTCGGTTAGGCAGATAATATCACTTTTATTTAATTCAGTTTCAACAATATCTGTCTTGTTTCTTAAGGATCTTATATTGAGATGAGAAATTTCTAGGTTACGCAGAGGACCTGGGTTTAACTCAATATCATTACAGCTGATTAATAAAATACTAGTCACATAGAGAAAAAAAAGTAAGTTTTTCAGATTGTGTGTATTCAGGGAACATTTATACACGATATGTACATAATAGTACACGGTTGAATTAGTCATACACCCCCTAGTGTTCCTACATGTCCCATCACGTGATATGCCTATTACTGTTTTAACCATTGTCATATATCGTTATAAAATACACTGTGACGTGAACGTGAAAAGGACACATGATATAGCGAGTACATAACGTTACATACAATAATTTGGAGGCTGGGCAAGCATAGATGTACAGTAACAGCACACGAAAAGACATTCGATTCGTAAACAAAACAATAGATAGAAACACATATATACATACAATATACAATGACATAATTACGTATAGACGACTCAGCCATTCAACATGGATATGGACCACGATGTCGTACACGGTACGTGTGTATTGTTATCTTAGAAGGTAATGTAAATTGTTATCATACAGTGGGTGACCTATTCAGTTATAGGCTTCTAACTTTCTTATCTATTTTCGATAACGAAAACCGTCGTCTTCTGAAGTCCACTGTTGTCTGGGTTTAAAAGCTCTAAACAGACGATTAATCAAACTATTTGATCCTAGGAACCTTACGGTCTTAACAAACCTGTATTACTAAATATATAAATAGCAGGCTCAACTTATGTAAGGCCTGGTCATCTTAACGAGTTGTTAACGCAAGTTTTCAAATTATACTTTTTGAAAATAACATCTGAAAATTACAATATTTAAGGTTTCTTTTCATCAATTGATCATTATGAATGAAGTTCTTATTTTAGTTTGGAAGTTAAATAAGTTTAAACATATAATGATTAAAAAGTTTGCATTTAAGTGCGATGAAGCTAACCAGATATTTATCAATGTGCTGTCTTATACCTTTCATTTTAAGTATGTTGATTGGAAATGTATGTCCTTCGCTGTTATCAGTTATAACATAATGGTTTTGTCAACTTGACTATCACAATCATAATCGAAAGCAAACGGTTGAAGTGTCTTTTATCATAAGCATATTAACACCATTTTTTAAAGAGAAATATGTCGAATAATTAACGGAAAAATTAGTTTATGAAGACCGGTTTACGGTTAAAAGTGGCGGGACTTCCAATTCTTATTTCCAGCAGCATTTCATACACCGATATCATAGTTTTTGCTTAAGGACTGCAAACATGGCCGGTGCTATTGCCAAAAAAAATAAAAAATCATTCTCTAATATTTACAAATGCGATTAGGATCTACCACTCTTAAATCTTCTCTGCAAAGTACATACTTAGCATTAGGATAGGGAATTAAAAAAAATCGATATCCCTTGACATTTATGCAATCGTTCAAAATATTGTGTTTAAAGTTATATTTTACCTATTATCCCTATATTTTATCATTTTATCATTCAGCACCCAATGAAACAAAAAGCGTTCATTTATTTATGATAATATTGGTTGCATGATCCCAAAAGATGCTTAACTGTTCTGGATTAGATTTCCCCCATAATCCCAAACGCCTAGACCCCTCCCCTCGGCAAAGCAATTGCTTTTTAGTTTCCAAGTACTGAGAGTGTATGACGGGAAGTTAAAGTGACATCGCTATCATCATTTGTACACATAGTAATTAGGTTTTGTTTGCCCGTTAACTCGTAGTTTAACCCTCTCGTATTAGCTAATGTCATGAATCCCCAGGGCTAGATTTGGTTTTATATTTGTTAAAGTCCTATTCAACAGCTGAGGTCATTTAAGGACGTGCCTCCATGTTTGTGTGTACGCGTGCATGTGTGTATTTGTGTCGGAGACAGGGTATGTCAGTATACTTGCCTTCTTGAGATACTGCTATCTCACCGACGGCACCCAGCACAGCATTACAACATCGGTTGAACCAGTTGTTGTCATTACCTATAATGCTGAACGTTAACAACTATCATTTTAAGGACTTTTGTATGCCCCGGCCTAGGGACAGAACTCATTGTCTTCCTCACCTTGGCGAACGCTCAACATTCAGTACACTCAGTATTGCCAAGTAGGGCGTTAGGAAATGAGAGAATGTAGAAGCAAAAATTAAGATCCTAAATATTGCAAAAGGGGCAGCAGATTTAATTTGGTCGCTTTGGAGTCCCCTAGTAGAGGGTACAAAAGTAAATCGAGAATTCTGCAGGGGTTTCTCAATTTAGTCGCCTCTTACTATACATACAGATGGATTCTTTACCCGATCCCCGATCTGCAGGGGTGCCTAGGGTTAATGTTGCAAATCAATTCATGTGCTCCTTTTATCATTTCCAACAAGTATCTCAACCGTTTCTATGTTATGACAAATAAACCTAACGTACATGGGGTACAAGCTCCTGACTTCAAATAAAAAAAACTTATACAAAATATAATATCTAATACCAAAATGACACATGCAAGCGTTTAATGGAATTAACTTTCAAAGAAATAAATCCTAACATTCCCATTTAAATTCCCGCCTCTATGGACCATTAAGCCGTTCACTCGCCTTTTTTACAGCATTGAGTCCATTTGTCCGAATAATGCACTACGCAAAGGTGATTTTTGACTTCTTGCAGATTTTAGCCCACAGAGAAAGATTATTTTTCCTCAAAAACGAGTATTTTGTCATATTTTAAGACTTTGGAAATGGTTTTCTCATTTAAGCAGCATGTGGAGCTCAAGTATATCACTTTGCCAAAATTTCCTGTGTTTTTGTGATAATTAAGCATGAATGTCGACGGTTACATTACACTTTAAAAGCATGATTTTGTGCAATTAAGAAAGGAGAGTAATATTTTATATGATAATAATTCCAAATTAAACGTTTGCTTCTTCAACGAAATTTGACCCACGACAAAACTATGTTATTGCTGTTATAATAATATTATAGAAATTACTGCTTAATGCATTGCCGTATTAATGTCTGACAAAATAACAAAATATTGGTATATAAAGAACATTTTGAGCAAACGCTTAGCTGTACAAATATTCATAGCAAAATTATGCACACATTCTTTCTCCGACCTCTTGATATAAGCGACATGATATCAGTACAAGAGGTGGGCTTATATTTTTGTTATTACGTTTACACGGTTTAAGCTATTGACATTCACGTCATAAAGAAGTGAACAAGGAAGTTTTGTTCACGATGTAAATTATACTAACGTGGCACGTCATTGGTTGATTGCTATCTATCTAAACGTTGTATAAGAAATGTGTTGCGCTGTATTAGACAATACAACATGAAGTCTATATGCCGGCCTCGCAGGAAAATAGTGTGTCATTGGTCCGTTTCACCATCCGTGTCTAGCGTCGGGCTCATTTTGGTATTACCATTTTTATTTTGTAACATTTAAGTTGCTTTCAATGTGTATAACGTATTTAGGGTTTCTTTTTGATGCTTCAGACCGGAAATGAGCATCTTGTGTCGCGGGGACCTAACGTCTCAACAAACAAACCTGATACATTTCAAAAATCCAATATGGCCAACATACCGTCATATGTCAAAATCTTAAAAGGGCCATAGCTCAAAAACCGTTCGGGACTAGATTTTTTCATCACATTGTATTAAAAAGGCGTCAAATTAAAGTCTTCCCTTTTAGGTCGAAGGTCACCAATTTTTCAACATTTCCATTTGTCAGTTTTTTTGGAACTTCTTTTTGTATTTGACGGATAATTTCATCAAAATGAATTTGATGTCTTCAGATTGTCTGCAATGTTTGAAATATTTACAATCCTAGGCAATTTTGAATATTTCCTTTGATCTTTTGAAAATGCCGACAATATGTTAAATCTATAACAATAATAATAATAAAATCTTTTATTTAGAAACGGTTACATATTTAGATCTACATCTAATTTACAATAGGGCCCTGTAATACACAATTAACAATGTGCAGATCCTGACAAGTTAAAGTATTAAAACTATTTGTCACATCTAAAACATTTTCTGCAGGTATTCCTTCTTAGAAGACACAAACTAGATACACTATATACACTATGGAGTGAGCTTTCTAAACGGTTCCATAAAATACATAGAAACTTACACATGATTTATAATTAGCCGTTCTTCATTTTTTTCACATTTGTTTTTGCTGTTAAAAGAACGTGTAGTTCTGGTAGAAACCTGGTTAACATAACTAAAATAGTGATTGATACAGCTACAATCTACTCACCGAGAAACATTCAAACACTCTTCTCTGTAACTGGAGCAAATCTTAAAACCTTTTGGTAATACTTCGTAAGTTATTACGCACTCATAAAGGTCTGAATGGTTTACTTTTCAACTGCGGTGGGAATCATCAGCAATTTTTCAACTGTGCAAACCGAATCGATAAAGACAAAATGCCAGTTTAAATTCAGCTTCTTCATATAAATACAGTCATATTTGAAGGACTATTTAATGTCTGCTCAGTATGGACTACCTACATATACAACATAACTCGTTGACTGACTATATTAATCCGATGTGTCTCTAACCTTATTTAGCACTCTGGGAATCCCTTACTACTTTTTTTCAGACACTGTAGACTTTCTCAAGCTCATTGGTATTTTGCTTAGTTTAATTTAATTTTCATTAATTATTAATTTTTCGATATTCCCGCAATGGTGCCAGTACTTCCGTGTCCACAACGTGACATATTAGTTGTGCCGAAATCCATATCACCCTTAAACTACCAACGGGTTGGAAGTATAATCCGTTGTCTTCTGAAGTCCACTGTTGTCTGAACTTAATAT